CCATTGCAGGGTTATTATCGTTTAATTAAACTATTAAAAACAAATAAAACTGAAATAAAGCATATATAATGGATTAAAAAAAATTCTAAATGAAAATTTGATGTTGCGATGGCAACTAAATTTGTAGGTTTAAAATAGATAAAAACTTAAAGGTGCCATAGAATGGACAACTGTATTTACCTTGGCATAGTTGAATAATAACAGTTCTGTACATGGAAATGACATACCGTGAGCCTCAAACACCATTGTTTCCTCCTTCTTATGTAAATCTCGTGCATGCAAAAGACCACTGAAAAATAGGCGAATCAGAACATAACACCGACTGTGATGTTACAGTCGGGATCACTAATAGTTACGCCCCCAACATTTGCATATACCCGCCCATGTTCTATGCCAGCCGACAGCTGAACCTGCACAGCCGAATCATCAGAAGTTCTGCAGGTATTGTGAAGAAACAAGCGAGGATAATAGCGAAAATGGCAGATCATGGAAATAAATGTTATGTTCCAGGCTGTGCAGGGGATGTGATGTGCAGGGATGGGTTGGTGTCTGTATTCAGAAAGGCACGGAAAACAAATAACGCGCGTTCTAATAAAATAACGCAAGCCACTAAAGGGACATGGTTAGCTGCTTGCTAGCGGTAGCCTGTTACATTACAGTACATAAGATTTCACTTACCACATAAACAGAGTAAGGAGAGATGACTGAGGATGATGGCGAATGATTTACAGATCCTGAGCACCACTGACAAGCATCTGATCTTGTAAAATGTGTGGTAAGTACTGCCGCTGTAGTTTACACAGAGCACGTGCGATCGTGAGAGATTGACAGAGAAATCTCGAAAGTGAAAGTAAAAAGCGATCTTGCATTCGTAAGCAGTTTTAATGCCCCGCATATTAATAGCGGCTCCCTGAAGCCCTCATTTTATATACATTATAGTTACCCAATGATATAACTGCGAGAGACAGTACTGAAATATATATTTTCCCTGTGTTTCCTTCCTGCTGTGTGAGCAACTGAAATGAGCCGCACTGTGAAACAGCCAATCAGAGCAGAGCT